TTAGACCCATATTTATATAAACTTTATGCATTAATTTTAAAAGTTCTATCGAATCTTAAAGTTATGCAACAATAAACTGAAACACCCTGTATATAGTCCGTGACCGTTGCATTTGCAGTTAACCCCTGACCAAACATTAAAGTATACTGGCGCAAAAATCCGAATCGACTTGTGAGGTTTTGCAATTAAGTTTAACCTCCGATAAACAAGTATCTGCAAGCATCATGAAGAGTCTATTCACCTTTGGACACAATACATAACAATTAATTATAACGATATATGTTGCTTCCTATGCAATTTCTTCAACAATTCTGACGATTAGACTGGAGAAGGAACCGTGTGTGCGTAGCTCTCAAAGATACTGTATTATGTATTTTTCAAAAATTACATAGTTACAAAAGAATCAAACCGAACTTTTTCCGATGCCCTTTGACCAACGTAGCAGTCGTACCATCCAGTTCCTGAGATACAGGGTTCTACAGACTCAGGAGGAGAGTGGGAATAACGAGGGTACCTGGATGGTTTTCTTGCAAGTCGGGTGCTTCGGTATTGTCAAATAAGATTGCCAACAGTCACATCAGATCCTTCCTAACAAAAATCCAAATTCTACGCTGAGAAATACCGTGTTGACTCTTTTATAGCAAATTAAGACTTCAAACTCTCAGCATCAAAGCTAATACTTTCCCGTTGTTATGAAAACAAAGCCAATACCAATTCGAGCTAAGTGGAAAACAGGATTCCGCTAGGACGAGCAGCTGATTCATCTTGATAGTGCAACACGTAACCAGAAAAGAATGCAGTGTGTATTCACGGGGCTTACGGTCTCGGTCCCTTTTATGATGTCTAGACAACGTTTTCCGAAAACAGGTAGTGAACAAACTTTGAATGGTCCCCTGGAACCTATCATTTAACGTAATGGGTTTACGGCCAGCGTTGCCATTTAGTAAGGACAAATACAACTCAAGTGTATCGAATTACTTGAACAAAAATACAGGGCTTCATGAAAGTTTGGTCTTTGTTTTTCAGAAACAACTACATTTGCAGTAACAAATATGACCTTAAACTGTAGCGAAAATCTAAAAAATGTTATAAACCGTTTAAATGCGTGAATTAACAAGATAATTAGGCATTGTATTGATTACGAAACTCCCACGGGTCAAACCATGAGTGCCGCCTGCTCGCTGGATGCGAGTGCCTCTCAAGTGCCCTGAAAGGTTCCAGCGACTCTCTTTTTACCTGCTTTTCCTTATGTAAATAATCCAAAGACATACCTGATGTAAACAACTATAAACCGGTAATCATAAATGCATTGTCGCTATTGAAGTCAACCCTTCTCTTTATCTATAATCAGAGACACTTATCATTTTAGGAACTCACTCATACATCTAATCCAAACTACAACCAGCACTCTCAACTATCAAAACTTTCACCCATCAATCTCAATACATCTCATCTCATCGGCGTATGCAGGTACCCCTGCTCAACGCTCATGTAAAACATTAAGCTGGATATCTCACTGTTCATTTTGTGTTTACGCCAAATACATGTTTTGACATTGTCTCAGCGGAGCGTGTCATACATGTTTTGCAGGACATCTCCGGTCCGTCGTCGATCTAGCTGTCTTCTACCGTTATGTCAACGGGCTTTGCTCCTTAGAGATCAACCTCCATGATGCCGCCACGCAGGGTATCGAGATAGAACAATCTGCCTGAAAATGTTTTTTCCAATTGTGCTAACCTTAGGCAGTTCAAAAATCGGATTAACAAAGTGACTCAAAGATTTGCATAGCTGCCGCGGAGTCTTGGTATTTAGGCTTCTGCCTACGTGACTGCTTCTGTGTAAAAAACATATCATACATAGTATGATGGCTTACGAACATGACAATGAGTATGTAATTTTTGTCAGGCACTGTACATTAATTCTTTCTGGTATTTGCAAACGGTGTGGTTTCCAAGCTGCACCTAATCATTTTAATACGGGCATTCATCATGCCGACATACTGTTTCCACGATCTGATTCCGCGGCTCACATACTAACGCAGCCGGACACTGACCATATACTCGGAAATTATGAGGAAGAATATTTGTAATATGGTATTAAGACGGCTGCTTATTGTAATTAAACTATTCGTAACCTCAATAGCTCGTGACACTGGAAGCCAGTCGAGCTAGACAACTGCAAAAATGTAAGGAAAAGCAAAATATTGTCGGCTGAAGCGAATAGCCATTAGGCTCGTTGCTTCTTCAACTTGATACCATCTGCCATAGTTATTAAAGAATCTCAGTGTGACCACTTGAGTCAATGGAGTTTTTTACCAGGAAAAAGTTTTATGTACATTCTATAAAGTGATATAAAGATAAAGCTTCGCATCCATAAAGGACACGAAATACCGACTATGTCCCTATATCCCACACTGTCTGGAACTGATGACCTCATTATATTTTATGTGTATCTTGGACTCTGTACTAATAATTTGCACCATTTCAACATTTCCCAAGAAAAATTGGGGGGGAAGTGGTGGCTTTCGGCGGAATCGGCTGCGAGAGAGGTACAAGGCAGCTACAAAACAAATGTGCTGGAGTGTGAATGGATGTTCTCAACAATGCCTTCTCACGATGAAGGTTAAGATGCCATTAGAAAATGGACGGGGTAGCACCCAAACCAAAACAACTAGACGTAAGATACAAAATAAAAGATGCTAGTCCATAATCAGGGGTTTGGGGGGCTAATATATCAGAATCTGGAAATTATTACCAATGAAACGACCCACGAACATCCAAAACCTCAACGGAAAGTAGAAAAGAAAATGGCGCTGGACCCGTCTGTACACGCAAGTTTTTAAAAGAAGGTATCTTGATCGTAGATCGAATATTCCATTCAGATTTTTAAAAAAAAGTATCTTGATAGTAAACCAAATATTCCTATACAGCTAGTACGTACAGAAATCACAAGGTGGCGCTGGTTGCCAATGGGCGGAACCAACTCTACGAGAGACCAAAGATATATATCTTATGAGGAAATTTCTAGCCGTTAATAAAAGATTTCAACACACTACTGAATCGCTGAGAAAGAAAGATATAATACGCGTGAAATTGTTCAATCAATAAACTATCGAATTTGCCAAAATAAAATCATTAAAAAGGGTTTGGCATAGCAATCGGCGCCCTACCATTAATAAGGAGAAATACAAATTACTGATAAAAATAGTAAAAAAAGGTTAGGTGATTTTGGCACGTGACAAAGTACTTCTTTGTACTTGATCCCTTTGTAGTTAATTTTGCATCTGGAATGATTCTTGTATGAGCGTCAAATCAGATTTTACTGTGTGAATCTCAGAAGCACAAAATGCCCATAATTACAATGTATGGTTAATTTGTTAGCTTTGGAAGTAGCTTTTTGGTTGTCGAGGCGGTCCAAAGGAGTGGAGTCTTTACGATAAGGTATTACTTCGTAAGTCTGTCAGCTGTGCTAACCAAGAAATCAGACATTGCTAAGGATAGAAGGGAAGAAAGAAGGAAAAGAGCACATAGAACGTTGCAGGATATCAAGCGGTTAGGCGTTATAGAAATGATTAAACAACATTGATATGACATGAAATGCTTACTTCTAGTGTGAGTTATGTCAATTTTAACTTTCCTGAAGTTCTAGCAAAAACGGCTGCATGACAGCTACAAGGCAGCTACATACCAAATGTGCTGGAGTGTGAATGGAGGTTCTCCGCAATGCCTTCTCATGCTGAAGGTTAAGATCCCATTAGAAAATGGACGGGGTAGCACCCAAACCAAAACAACTAGACGTAAGATACAAAATAAAGGATGCTACTCCACAATCTGGTGTTTGGGGAGTTAATATACCAGAATCTGGAAATTATTACCAACGAAATGACCCACGAACATCCAAAACCTCAACGGAAAGAAGAAATGAAAAATGCCGCTGGACCCGACTGTACACGCAAGTTTTTAAAAGAAGGTATCTTGATCGTAGATCAAATATTCCTATACAGCTAGTACGTGCAGAAATCACAAGGTGGCGCTGGTTGCCAATGGGCGGAACCAACTCTACGAGGGACCAAAGATATATATCTTATGAGGAAATTTCTAGCCGTTAATAAAAGATTTCAACACACTAGTGAATCTCTAAGAAAGAAAGATATAATACGTGTGAAATTATACAACCAATAAACTGCGAAATTTGCAAAAAAAAAACATTAAAAAAGGGTTTGGCTTAGTAATCGGCACCCTACCATTAATAAGCAGAAATTCAAATTACTAGTAAGTGATCAAATTAGTAAAAAAAGGTTTCGTGATTTTGACACGTGACAAAGTACTTCTTTGTACTTGATCCCTTTGCAGTTAATTTTTCATCTGGGATGATCTTTCTATGAGCATCAAATCAGATTTTACAGTGTGAATCTCAGAAGCACAAAATGCCCATAAGTACAACGTATGTTAATTTGTTAGCTTTGGAAGTAGCAATCAAGTCAAGTCATTGTTGGTTGTCGGGGCGGTCCATAGAACGTAAAGGACTGAAGTCCTTACGACAATATTACTTTGTAAGTCTGTCAGGTCTGCTAACCAAGAAATCAGGATTGCTAAGGATAGAAGGGAAGAAAGAAGGAAAAGAGCACGTTGCAGGATATCAAGCGGATAGGCATTATAGAAATGATTCAAAAACATTTATATGACATGAAATGCTTAGTTCTAGTGTGAGCTATGTCAATTTTAAATTTCCTGTATTTCTAATTGAATGTTTGCTTGCTAGTACAAGCTGCGGCTTTGCGTGATTGTTGGCTTGCTCATCTAAGCGATAGATAATCGATCAAGTCTCTCTCACAGAGAAGGCTACAATCTTCCCTTCACCCACCTGCTTGATAGACGACATATTCCCGAATACCATTCCTATTGTGATACAACCAGTCACCTATAGATAAAAGTATAACAGATAACCTATCTATACAATGCATGCATAGAACGATCATGCATTAGTTGTTGAATATCGGTTCTTTGTTACAGGTCGACAATCGTACAGACGAAGTGTTAGGCCGGTCGAAAAATGTTATAAGAAGAAGAATCTGGTTCATCTAAGTTGAAGGTGCTTTATAGAAAGGTATGTAACACTTAAGTACTTAAAGTAATTCCTAAAATATATGATAATTCGTATCGGATCGTCCTTAGTACGATAGACTAGTTGGGACAGTAACATGTTTGGCGATTATAAAGGATATGAAATGCTTGAGTCCATTATATTAATTATTAACATAAGTATTGTTCTTTTTATAACCTTAACAGATGACATTTTTCACACACAATTTTCTTATCCTTCTTCTTTATAATCGGTTTTGTTTTTCTCATTATTCTCATTTGCTTTAGCTTTCTTAGAATTATCCTTGTTAAAAGGACGTCTTTTGTCGTTCTTCGCCTTCCTGCTTGCTTCTATAGCAGCAGTTTCGTCCTTAACAGTGTCAGTCAGTCAGTATGCACAGCAGACTTTATCTTCCGTCTACTCCGTTGGTTTCCTTTTCCTGGTGGAGCTTTTGGGAGTAGTCCAAAAATATCCGTAGAAGATTCTTTGGATATAGTGACGAGCTGTAGATGTGGAGATGGACAAAAAAATACTAATTTCTGCAAGGCTCATTGACGTTCTGCTCCAAACGGATGCTCTGCCGGTAGGTGTTCTTCACGCATTCATTTCAACGTCTTCATTTTCAGGAACCCCTAAAAGTGGCTTTTGAATATTCTCTCTAGTCCTCACTCTCACCTCTATTCACAGATGTACCTGGAGCAGGGGTACTTCTTGATTTTCCGATGCCTTTGTAGTGAACGGTTTGTCAGTTTCTAGATTGGTCGACAATCGATCAATAACCTGACGTTGACGTCTCTATTAAAATACCTAGAAAAGTTGAGAGACGCTGCCAAAATTCTAGGTGGAAAATATCATGCTTATATTCGAATTAAGACTCTCAACCTACAAACACGTGGCAAGCCAAATAAACAATATTATGATATGAAACTTAAAAGACCAATGGAGAGTAGACAAAAAAATTGCACATTTAAATTTATGTAATATGTATCGAACAGTAGGATATACAAATTTACTTTTGGTATACGTTTTTTATATGCAAATGATGTTCAGATACAACCGTCCCTTGTACCCAATAGGGACAAACTACATCACATGATGTGTTAATGTGTTATTCAAACAATAAATACTCGGTGTTGCAAATCACAGATTACGAAAAATCGACTCATTCACAACTCTCCTCATCGCACTTCAGCCTCCCCTAAAGAAATCTATTTACCAACTAGTGTGATTCATTTGGTCAGGGTAGTATAGAGAAAGAACTTATTCAATTCAAAATTAACTCCATCTACAGTTTTTGAAGAATATGTAAGTAGAGAGATGCGGTCTTGCATATTTGTACATTTACTGTTCTTTACTCTTTCTCACCCTGCAAAAGTTGCATCCAATTTAGCTAGTTCTGAAATTTTGCTCTTTGCAAAGATACTGGAGATCTGTGAACAAAGTTGTATGAAGTATAGTCTGACAAATTGGAATCCATCAAAATGTGATTTGGTGTTCTGTGGTGCCTACATGGAACACCAGGTTAACAAAAATCGATTCTAAAAATCATAATGTACCCTATTTGTTGCCATGATAGAGATACATAACCATAAAATATGTAACGTGCATGTAGTGCTCTTTTATTGCTAATATGGGACGTAATTTTTACGTTGATTAAATTGAGTTCTAAAAATAATCTACCGGCCTGGCCGACAAATTGAGTTATTCGGTAATTCAAGATAATTTAATAATTTTTCACTGACATCGCTTGGGTGGGAACATGAAAATGTCAGTAGAGCGGACTCCTGAATTTATTAACAGTAGCACGGTTGCACTTAAAAAGATTATTTGACCCAGGGTTCATTTTTTATCAAACACCGACCGTTGACGCTAGGTCAGTACATGGCGAATGGAAAACAGCACAATGGGGAAGACATTTTTATTTTGCTTTCGTTCATGTGTATGAAACAATTCAAACAACACAATTTAGTTGAAGCATATGTTTTAAGGTGATAACTTTTTGTCCGCGAAGACGGACCTACAGTTATGATGAACGTCACTACTGTTAGACGTCAGCACCGAAATTATCATTGACATCAAACAGCTTCAAATAAGGTGCCAGATATGCCAGATCGTCAAAAGCTTTAACCTACATGTATAGTACGAGCCCCTTCCCACTTCAGTTGGCCCAACTATTGAAAACTTCGTTTTTCTCTTATCAACCACAAATAATAAAAATGTAGCAGGGTGTTATAGGTTTAAAATATTTACAATGAATACTTTGATAATATATAGTAGAAACTTTATCACACCCTAATCAAATTTGCAGCATAAAAATAACACATGTTGCAATTATAGCATATCAACCTATTTTCATTTCAGCGCAAAATAAGTCTATAACGCATAGGTGGCTGTGAAAACTAGAAGCCATGACAAATGTTTCCATTAATCACAGCTGTCAGAATACGCTTAAAATAGTTTTGGGTAGTTAGAGGAAAGGTTATTAGTGAGAAAATTCGGTTACTGATAACTAAATGTTTTAATTCTGGGAAATTAAACTCAGAAATTGCAACTTTGTTAGACTTATCGCGGTACAGTGTGAGAAATATTGTTAGAAGATATAACGTAACTGGTTCAGTTAATATTAAGCCACGATATGTGAAAAAAGTAATATCACAAATGCCGACCGAAGAGCATTAAGAAGAATAATCGTGAAAAACAGGCGTGCCAATTATTTACAATTAAGTGCTCTGTGGAGTGACGCTGTTGGAAGGAGAATTTTGAGGTCCACAACTCATAGAGAGGCCCACAAACTGGGATTTAGCACTTGCAAGGTAAGTTTTCTTATAAAAAAAAAGTGAAGTAAAAACCCTAAAGTTGCACAACTTGTTTATAGGCCCAAGAAAAGCCACTATTAACTCCACTGCAAAAGAAAAATCGGCTTAGATGGGCTAAAGAACATAGACAATGGACACCTCAACAATGGTGTGCAATACAATGGAGTGATGAGGCCCGATTCGAAGTTTGTGTTGGTGACAGTCGCAGTAGAGTTATTCGCAAAAAAATGAAGCAATCCATGTTGACTGTCTGAAGAGAAAAGTGAAATTTACAGCATCCATTATGGTTTGGGGCAGTATGTGATCAAAAGGAGTAGGAAAACTTCATTTTATTGATGGAAATGTGGATACAAACAAATAATTGGCAATTTTAGAAGAATCGCTTTTACCAGTGACTGAAGAATGTTTGACATCCGGCCAAGATTTTGTGTTTCAGCAAGATGGTGCAGCGTGCCATACCTCAATAAAGGCTATAAAATGGATGGCAGGAAATAATGTACCACTTTTGAAATGGGTTTCTAGCAGTCCAGATCTGTCACCTATTGAAACTTTGTGGCACGAGATGAAAAAGGTTCAAGGAATATGAGATTGTTTTACACCAAATTTTTGCCAAAACTTGGTTAACAGTATGCTCCAAAGAATTTCAGCCGTAATAAAAAATAAAGGTGATGTTACCCAATGGTAATCTTTCAATTGTTGCTTTGTTAACTTCGCGCATTTATTCCCACACTGTTTATTTGTTGAGATGTTCAATTAGTTATAGGTCTAAGTTCTAAGTGATTTCAAAAATGTATTTTTTACGACTAGAGTGTATCTAAAATGTTTTTGAGAAAATAAATTGTTTTAGGAGTAAATAGTTTCGTCATGTTTAGTTTATAAAGGCATATTTTGTTACAAATCTTGAAGTGGGCCAACTGAAGTGGGAAGGGGCTTGTACTTGGGCGCAATCTTCTGGGCCCGAGAGACAACTCCTGTTGGAATATTTCCGGAAGGTTTGTTGTCTCGTAAACCTAAACATCTGTAAGAAAAAAAGAGAGGAACACTCTGCTACCGGGTGTCTCATATTTGATCTAAACAGTACGAGATACGAAGTCAGAGGAAAATTCCAAGAAAACAGCAAACTAGTTTCGTGGCTTTCGTATGCCCAACCATTGGCGAAGTTTGTTCAATGGTGAGTAGACCGTATCTACTATAGCAACAGAATTGGAGGCATAAAGCCAAAATAAATAAAGCATTTAGATCCTTGAGCTTTTGAGGCAGGCGTTCCATGTGTTAAAAAACTACATAATCTAGAGTACTTCTGAAGAATATGTTATCTAAATGGACTGCATTGAAAAATTTGAAAAGCTTGAGATTAACTGACATATATTAAACTGGTCATGTGACAGTTGTGAAGAAAATCCGTCGATAGCGAACGAGTCGCTGCTAGCTTGTAGCAGCTAGATGCGATCATAACATATGCTCTTTCTGAATATGAAAAGACCCAATAATTTTGAAAGGGTTCCAAGGGGTACAAGGAGATTGAGCAGTAGAAGAGAGCTAGATCGCCAAAAGGGTGCTGAGACTGTCCGTTAGAGGAGTATCATCGATCAGTCGAACAACTCTTTTCTGAACAATGTCGAGCATGGATGATATAATTGGGGCAGCAGCACCCCAGACATGTGAGCGGTCCTCGAGGCTAGTGAAGAAGTACTTATTAGTCCTTGAACATCGAACGTGACCAATTTCATTCCATATGTTCGGATACACATACAGGCTAATATTTCAGTAGGCTACTATTTGAGTAGCCTGTATGGGTATAGATTTTTGGTACGTCTCTGCTTGTCTTCAAAAGGGCTAATATTAACAGAAAAGTGCATCCACCTGAAGTCATAAGGAAAACCCGATCGATCCTTGACGCGTATCTCGTTAACTCGGGGTCTGGCTCCGCCAGCAGGCCGTTATCAAGGCAATTTGTGTCGCAAACGCTAAACTGCACATCCTGCGGATCCCAATCGATTAAATGGAGGATGATGCACTGCCTCGGGCACACAAATCCAATTAGACCTAGACCCGCTTTTCATCTAGATAACATTTCGATACACGTATCATGTACATAGTATTTCCATCATGTACAGAAGCCACACTTGAAATATGTGAATAGTCCAAATTCATACATATAAGAGCCGCATGATATGATCTGGAATATGACATACATAATCTATACGT